CCCCCCCCCCCCCCAGACGAGACAGGGTTTCTCCGTAGCTTTTCGGTTCCTGTCCTGGAACTAGCTCTTGTAGACCAGGCTGGCCTCGAACTCACAGAGATCCGCCTGCCTCTGCCTCCTGACTGCTAGGATTAAAGGCGTGTGCCACCACCGCCTGGCTATTTTTTTTTTTAAAACAGGGTTTCTCTGTAGCTTCGGAACCTGTCTGAGAACTCACTCTGTTTAGACCAGACTGGCCTCAAACTCACAGAGATCTGCCTGCCTCTGCCTCCCGTGTTGGATTTTCATTACTAACAACCCAGAGTTCTACTCTGTAGAAAGAGGTGTCAAGTTGGGCCTGAAGCTCCCAAGGTCTTTTTGGTTTGCAGCTCTCCCCAGACACCCTAACCTGAATCCTTCATCTCTTCTCACCTGAAAGGCCCCATTTGTCTCTGGACTCTCACACTGGGTGTGATCTCTCCAAGACCCCCACTGGCCATCACTGCCACACTGGCGGAAGACATAGCCTGCAGCCACTATGGGAACATAAGGGATGGGATCAGAGAAAGAGGCATGGAGTGGTTCACCACAGTAATCTTGACAACTGGGAGGTCGAGGCAGGAGGATTGCCATGAGTTCAAGACCAGCCTGAGCCCTGGAGTTGGCTCTGCAGGTAGAGTTGTTGGTAGAGCCTGGGACCACAAGGTGAAAGGATTACTGTAAATTGATCTCTTTTTTATTTTATTTTATTTTATGTGTATTGCCATGAGTTTTTCAGATCCCCTGGGACTGGAGTTACAGACAGTTGTGAGTTGCCATATGAGTGATGGGAATTGAACCTGGGTCCTCTAGAAAAGCAGCCAGTACTCTCAACCATCATCTCTCCAGCCCTAAAGTTGATCTCTTATCGTCATACCCCTTAGCATGTGTATCCATCCATACACACAATAAATTAAGACAGGGAAAATAAAGTGTGTGACAGAGCCCAGAGGACACAGACATTAGGAAACACCAGGCTTGATAGACAGGGTCACGAACGGGAGCAGGAGGGGTTGGGTGAGCTGCCCGGCACCTCACCGTGACGATACCAGGGCAGATACCAGGGGCAGGGCACCTGGGCAGTGGTGTTGGCGGCCGTGTAGTCCCAGCAGACGTACGTGTCGAAGGACCCGTTACAGACCACGCCTGAGGGAGAGGGCGACAGAGCCAGAGGCTAGAGTAGAGGGCGGTCCTCCAGGATGCTATCCCCTTAGAGGCCACAAGCGCCTCTCACCAGTCCTCAAACCCTTGCCTCCTCCCAGTCCCGTCGCAGGCTCCTTCCACCAAATAAAGAAAGCCCAAGCCCGTATCATGATTATTTCATCTAGAAAGTTCAGTTATCAAGCTCCATCCAGACCCTGCCCATTGGAGTGCAGGGCCCCGCCTACGACCCTTCCCTCTTCCCCTCCCTAGAACTGGCTCTGTAGACCCAGGCTGGCCTCGAACTCACTCAGAGATCCTCTTGCCTCTGCCTCCCTAGTGCTGGGATTAGGATTCTTTTATTAAACTGAATCCAACCCTGGTCATCACCGCTTACCCGAGCCAAACCCCACCCCACACATCCTCGAAATCGCCCAGATTTTTCTCTTCAGCCACCAGCTCCTTCTCTCAGCACCTCCCCCCTGCTCGCCCAGCCCCCTAGTCACACCTGAGGGAGGATCTGCAGCCTTCAGGGCCTCCTGGCACTCCCTGCCGTAGAGCTCCCAGCGCTGGTACAGCTCCTCAGTCTGTCCCTCAGAGTCTGTCTAAGAGGAAAGGGAAGGGAGGAAACCCCCCTCGACGAGGACAACCCCCTTCCAGGCAGCAAGCTCGGTTGGGAAGGGTCAAAAGCACTCATTTTTAGAGATTTGGAGGGGCCGTCCAGTGTTTTACACAGTACTCCTGGGTGGCTTGGAAATCTTTTCGATGGAATCGGGGTGCCTAGAAAACCGCCAATGGATCTGATATGGGAGGCGGCAAACTTTTCAGAGAAGCAGAGGAGGGCGGTGGGTGGACCCCACGGGAGGACTAGTATGAGCAGAAACTACCAGACTGCAGCGTGGGGACGAGCAGCCTCAAAACTCTCATTGTGATAGGGGAAGGCTTAAAACCCTCCCGGACCACCGGTGTCTCTCTAGCTCCTCACCTCCGCCCTCTGGAGTGGCAGTCCCCACAGACACAGCAGCAGAAGCAGAAGCCTCAGGGGCATTCTTGAAGGGTGATGGAGACTCGGCCACGCGGAGGTGGTTGGGTTGGAGGGTCCCAGCGCAGAATCAACACTTCAACCTCAGCCACCGTTCACCTGCCAGATGCTCGTAGAGCCTGAGGCCACCCCCCATTTCCGCACGTGAGGATTTGGGGTGGGGCAGTACTAGGCGCGGCCTCCAGTGGTTAAGTGGGGCTGGGATCAGCTAAGCGATTCCCAGGCCCTCCTAAGTGTTGCTGAGGCAGCCTAGGTAGAAGGGAGGGGTGTTTGCTGAGGGGCCTGTTGCCCTAGAGCCGTGACCGGCAGAAGCGTTGGTGTCACCCAGAGGCTAGACAGGAGAGACTCGGGAACCTGGGACCTTCTGGCGGGTGTGGGGATGGGAGGGATAGAAACCATCAGTCAAATCTAGAAGGGAACTTGAAACGACCTTTTGAGTTCCCATCCTCCCAGTGCAAAGCGTTTTTAAAATTAGATAGCAAACCATCTTCTAAAACTTTCTTGGCTTTGGATATATAAAGCCCAGAGTCAAAGAGACAACGTTTTCCCAGCATCCAAATACTGAGACATTAGACTGTGGGTTTCTGACTTTAGCGTGCTAAATGCTCTCTGAAAATTTTTCTAACCGCAACCATTACCCACCCCCACAATGCGAAAGTGGGGTTTCAAGAGGGAATCTCAGACCTCTAGAAAAGAGAGAGAGAGAGAGAGAGAGAGAGAGAGAGAGAGAGAGAGAGAGAGAGACTGACTCAGGGACAATGAGAAGCGCAGGAGAAAGGAGAGCAAATAGCAAAAAATTACAGAAAAATGCGGGCTGGGAGACAGAAAGAAGTGAGTGGGGACAGAGAACAGGGAAAGAGTAGAAATAAGCCCATCAGAGAGGCAGAAAGAGACAAAGTAGAGATAAACAGAGGCAGGGAGAGATAGACCCCAGGGCAGTGTCTTGATGAGGACCCCTTACCTGTGCCCAGTCCCGGCTCCCAATCTCCTTCTGCCACAGCTGCCCTGCCTCGCCAGCCTGAGCTCTGCAAGAGGTGACGGGCGCCCAGCAGCCTGGGGTGTTGGAGGGGGGCGGGGCCAGGGCGGAACAGAGAACGGGAACGGGGAGCTCTAGGGAAGAGTGGGAACTGGGGAGCAGGCACGTTTATCACAGCCACTCTGTGTCACGTAGGAGCAGCCACACAGTTATGGTCCGCCGACTCCCCCCCTCCCCCCCCGCCCTGCTCGAGCCACAGAACACACTATCCCATTCAGCCATTCACACAGTCTCTCACAGGATTCCAAACGCGGAGCAGGAGACCGGCAGAGACTCGGAGTGCGACTCTGTGAGTAACAAGTTCACTCACAGCTACATAAGCGGGTCACGCTGAGAGAGACAGCCTTTCACCCACAATGACACGTGGCTGTGTGCCCAGGGCCGTGGACATTTCACAGATATGCATCCAATAGTCCTAACACCATGGCCTTTTTGTTGTCATTCTTTGGTGGACGGATATGTGTGTACATGTTCATGTGTAAGGGTGTGAGGGCCAGAGGACAACCTCTGATGTCATTCCTGGGTGCTGTCTACTTTGTTTTGGTTTTTCAAGACAGGGTTTCTCTGTGTAGCCGTGAATGCCCTGGAACTCACTCTGTAGACCAGGCTGGCTTCGAACTCAGAGATCCTCCTTCCTTTGCCTCCAGAGTACTGGGATTAAAGGGGTGTGCCATCACACCTGGCAGGTGCTGCCTAGTTTGTATGTATGCATATATGTGTGTGTGTGTGTGTGTGCCCAAATGTCCTCACAAATGTGGATGACAGAGATCAACCTCTGGTGCCCTTTTTCAGGTGCTGCCCACCTTTCTTTCTAAAAAAATGCACATATACATACACATACATACATTTACATATGTATGTGTATGTATATATATATATGAGACACACACACACACACATATATGAGACAGGTTTGCCTGGCGGTGGTGGTGCACGCCTTTAATCCCAGCACTTGGGAGGCAGAGGCAGGCGGATCTCTGTGAGTTCGAAGCCAGCCTGGTCTACAGAGCAAGTGCCAGGACAGGCTACAAAGCCACAGAGAAACCCTGTCTTGAAAAAAAAAATATGAGACAGGGTATCACTGTTAGGCCTGGCTGGCCTGGAACTCACTCTGTAGACCAGGCTGGCCTTGAACTCACAGAGATCTGCCTGCCTCTGCCTCTCCAGCACTGGGATTACAAACACACTACCCAGCTTTACTTGCTGCTGAGAATCAAACTCAGGCTCTATGTTAAGGTGCATCGCAAGCACTTTACCAGCTGAGCCATCCATGGCCCCAATCCTTAACTCGTTGGCTTTGTTTTAATTTTATGTGTGTCTTGCTTGCATGGATGCTTGTGTACCACATTCATGCAGTACCCAAGGAGGCCAGAAGAAAGAGGGCACTGGAACTGCAGCTACAGATGGTTGTGAGCCTTCCTGTGGGTGCTGAGTACTGAACTCTGGGTCCTCTAGAATAGCAGCCAGCGCTTTCCAGCCCTGTTTTGTTTGCTCTTCCTTCCTTCCTTCCTTGCTTGCTTGCTTCCTTCCTTCTCTCTCTTTTCTTTCTTTATATCTCTCTTCTTCTTTCTTTCTTTTCTTTTCTTTTTAAAGATTTATTTATTTATTATGTATACAACATTCTGCCTCCCTGTATACCCACATACCAGAGGAGGGCGGGCGCCAGATCTCATTACAGATGGTTGTGAGCCACCATGTGGTTGCTGGGAATTGAACTCAGAACCTCTGGGAGAGCAGGTGGTGCTCTTAACCTCTGAGCCATCTCTCCAGCCCCTTTCTTTCTTTTCTTTTCTTACTTTTTTTTTTTTTGGTTTTACAAGACAGAGTTTCTCTGTATAACAGCCCTAACTGTCCAGAAACCCACTCTGTAAGCCAGACTGGCCTAGAATGCAGAGATCCACCTGCCTCTCCCTCCCAAGTGCTAGGATTAAGGCATGCGCTGCCACCCTGCTGTTTGCTATTTCTTAATAAAACAGAGTCTTACTGTATAAACCAGGTGTCCTCCAACTTTGGATCCTCCTGCCTCAGTCTTCCAAGCGCTGAGATTCAGATTTAAATTGCGAAGGTGTGTGCAACCACGTCTGGCTCCCGGGAACACTATCAATAAATAGCACAGACACCACACTCAGTAGAGCGCGTCATGTCAGATTAGCGGCCACTAGTCTGTATCCCCAGGAGGACAGGAACTGGACAGCTGAGACGTTACCCAGAGCAAGACCTCAAGCAATAATGAGTGTTCAGGACACAAATGTGTGTGTGTGTGTGGTGATTCACACAGCCGTTCAGTCATCTCTCAAACCAAGCTGTAAGTCACACACAGTGTCACACACATCCACAAACACTGTCACCCTGTGACACAGATCACAGTATCCCGGAGTCTACACCGCTGTTCTGGCCACACTCACAAACCTCAGACATCCCATGTAGGTTCCGGGGATGGAATTCAAGTCGTCAGGCTTGATGGCCAGCAACTTTACTCACTGAACCATCTTGCTGGCCCACGTCACCTTTCTTTTTTTTAAACCTTTTTTATTTTATTTATTTATTTATTTATTTATTTTTTAGGGACAGGGTTTCTCTGTGGCTTTGGAGCCTGTCCTGGCACTAGCTCTGTAGACCAGGCTGGTCTCGACCTCACAGAGATCCGCCTGCCTCTGCCTCCCGAGTGCTGGGATTAAAGGCGTGCGCCACCATCGCCCGGCCATTTTATTTTATTTTTTTTATTTTGTGAGAAAGGATGCTATATGGTCCAGGCTAACCTTGAACTCATCCTCCTTCTGCTTCCAATTGCCAGATGCTAGACTTTCACCTGGGGGTCACCACTTCCCGCTGGTCCCACAGCCAGTCATACAGTTAGCTGCCCACACACTGTGATTCCCACTGCCACACATTAACACGAAGTCTTGAAGTGGTCCCAAGGTTACAAGAACCTACATATCACCCATGTTTTTACAATCTCTACTTCTGGGATCTTCCTTCACCCCAGATACAGGGAACATCTGTCCGTGGAGCGTAGGATGGGGAGACTTGGAACCAACTATGAGAACTCGGTGTCTACATCTCCCCCCAATACACACCACCAGTTCAGGCTGCTCTCTTGGGATCTGTTGATAAGTAGGACAGAGGCAAGCCTGCCCATTTTGCAGAGGACAAGCTGAGGCCCAGAGGCCCCAGGAAGAGCAGGGGGTGGCCTGAGGTCCGCATCAGAAGCAGGGAGCAGGGAAGCATGGGGAGGGTGAGGGTCCCTACCGCCTGGCCCCTGGGGGCCTCTGCGCTCTCTGCTCCACATTCCTGGCGCCATGTGGATCCTGGGAAAGTATCTGTTCCTGAAGCGGAGCATGAAGAGGGTCTGAGATTGACGAGCACCTCGTGGACAGCTGGGGCTGGGAGATCCTCTTGGGCTTCAAGAGAGCAAGGGCATGAAGGTCACTGGACTGGAGAGGGAGGAAGGAGTGGGACTGGGGTGCTCAGAGGGGCAGTAAAAGAGCCCAAGTCCCAGAAAGATAAGGAGGGGAAAGATAAGAGGCCAGATGGTGGTGCACACCTTTAATCTCAGCACTCGGGAGGCAGAGGCAGGCGGATCTCTGGGAGTTCCATGCCAGCCTGATCTACAGAGTGAGTTCCAAGACAGTTAGGGCTACACAGAGAAACTCTGTCTCAAATTCCCCCAAAAAGAAGAAGAAAAGGAAGAGAAGGAGGAGAGAGATGAAGGATGGGGAGAGAAAGAGCTTGGTGTGCAGATTGGGGCAAGAAATCCTGAGTCTGAGGTCAGCCTGGACTCCGTAATGAGACAGAATTTCAGAGAGAGAAGGGGAGAAAGGATGGAGGAGGGGAGGGAGAGGAGGAGGAGGAGGGAGAAGGGAGGAAGAGAGATGGGAGATAGTGAGCCTGAAAGATGGTCTTGAGGGGGCAGAGAACCCTCCTCCACACCCTCCTTGAGAAGCTATAGTAAGGTGCCCATGTTCTTGTCAGTCACCCCTCCCCCCATGATCCTGTAAATAACACTAATGAAACTCACTGAATCACGGCAAAGAAACCCCCAGCGACACGCAAGCAGAGGGAGGATGGTCAGAAACAGGAAAGACGTGAGTCAGGAGACAGGGTGAATACAACCAAAACACATTATATGGACATGCATATATATATATGTTTATGTGTATGTATGTATATGTGTGTATACACATAGCTCAGTGAGACCCACTGTCTATGATTAACATCTGCTAATAAAAATCTTAAAGGGAGCTCGTGAGACGGCTCAGTGGGTAAGTGTGCTTGCATGCTTGCCATCAAAGCTGACAGGCGACCTGAGTTCAATCCCTGGAGCCCATATGGTAGGAGAGGATGAACCCACTCCCACAGCCTGTCCTCTGACCCTCACTCGTACACAGTGGCAGATCCACAATGGCACACACACACACACACACAGATAAACAAACACAAATATATGTATATTCAATTTCCAAAGATGTTCCTGAAGACAGAGAGGCGTCCTCATGCCCTCCCCCCATTGTCCACTCTAAGTGAACACAGGGCAGGCATGTAGGACAGGAGGGAGAGGAGGGGACATCTGTCTAGGACCTTGACTGGCTCCTGCCCAGCCCTGTCCTCTGTCTAGGGTCCTTGGCAATCTCTCCTGAGCTACTCAGCTGCTCCCAGGCTGCACCATGCTGCAGCAGCCCACTCTTCACCGCCTCCCCCCCCTGAGACTTAGGCCCTGACTACACTCTGCTTGCTTCTCCAGCGTACTTGGCTCTTCCGGTCTCTAAATATAGCCTGTCTCTCCCAGCGGCCAGCCTATCTTCTCTCTGCTGGTCCTCCCCACTCTTCTCTCTATGCTTGCTCTCTCTCCCTCCCTCTCTCTTCTTCTCCCTCTCTCCTCTAAATCCCTCCTGTCTAGGGGAGCATGACAGAGCATCAATGCCAGCACTCTGGAGGCTGAGGCTAGGGGAGCCCTGTGAGTTCAAGGCCAGCCTGATCTGCATAGCAAGTGCCAGGTCAG